ACTTATTTTCCCTGTCAAAAATTAAACAGCAATCTAATTTTCCCTGTCAAAAGTTAAAGGACAAATTGATTGTCCCTGAACAAAGTTAAAAGACAAACTAATTTTCCCTGTCCAAAGTCAAAAGACAAACTAATTTTCCTTGTCAAAAGTTAAAAGACAAATTAATTTTCCCTGTCAAAAGTTAAAAGACAAACTAATTTTCCCTGTCAAAAGTTAAAAGACAAACTAATTTTCCGTGTCAAAAGTTAAAGGACAAACTAATTTTCCCTGTCAAAAGTTAAAACACAAACTAATTTTCCCTGTCCAAAGTTAAGGAACAAAAATTTTCCTACAAAGTTAAGGACAAAACTAATTTTCCCTGTCAAAAGTAAGGAACAAAGTCATTTTCCCTGTCAAAAGTTAGGGAACAAACTAATTTTCTCTGTCAAAAGTAAGGAACAAACTAATTTTCCCTGCCAAAAGTTAAAGGACAAATTAATTTTCCCTGTCCAAAGTTAAAAGACAAACTAATTTTCCCTGTCAAAAGTAAGGAACAAAGTAATTTTCCCTATCAAAAGTTAAGGAACAAACTAATTTTCTCTGTCAAAAATTAAAAGACAAACTAATTTTCCCTGTCAAAAGTTAAAGGACAAACTAATTTTCCCTGTCAAATGTAAGGAACAAACTAATTTTCCCTGTCAAAAGTTAAAAGACAAACTAATTTTCCCTGTCAAAAGTTAAGGAACAAACTAATTTTCCCTGTCCAAAGTTAAAAGACAAATTAATTTTCCCTGTCAAAAGTTAAAGGACAAATTAATTTTCCCTGTCCAAAGTAAGGAACTAACTAATTTTCCCTGTCGAAAGTAAGGAACAAACTAATTTTCCCTGTCAAAAGTTAAAAGACAAACTAATTTTCCGTGTCAAAAGTTAAAGGAGAAATCAATTTTCCCTGTTCAAAGTTATAAGCCAAACTTATTTTCCCTGTCAAAAATTAAAGGACAAATTAATTGTCCCTGTCCAAAGTTAAAAGACAAACTAATTTTCCCTGTCCAAAGTCAAAAGACAAACTAATTTTCCTTGTCAAAAGTTAAAAGACAAAATAATTTTCCCTGTCCAAACTTAAAAGACAAACTAATTTTCCCTGTCCAAAGTTAAAAGACAAACTAATTTTTCCTGTCCAAAGTGAAAAGACAAACTAATTTTCCTTGTCAAAAGTAAGGACAAAACTAATTTTCCCTGTCCAAAGTAAGGAACAAACTAATTTTCCCTGTCCAAAGTAAGGAACAAACCAATTTTCCCTGTCAAAAGTTAAGGAACAAACTAATTTTCCCTGTCAAAAGTTAAAGGACAAACTAATTTTCTCTGTCGAAAATTACAAGACAAACTAATTTTCCCTGTCCAGAGTTAAAAGACAAACTAATTTTCCCTGTCAAAAGTTAAAGGACAAATTAATTTTCCCTGTCCAAAGTTAAAAGACAAACTAATTTTCCCTGTCCAAAGTAAGGAACAAACTAATTTTTTCTGTCCAAAGTAAGGAACAAACCAATTTTCCCTGTCAAAAGTTAAGGAACAAACTAATTTTCCCTGTCAAAAGTTAAAGGACAAACTAATTTTCTCTGTCGAAAATTACAAGACAAACTAAAGAATTAAAAGACAAACTAATTTTCCCTGTCAAAAGTTAAAGGACAAATTAATTTTCCCTGTCCAAAGTTAAAAGACAAACTAATTTTCCCTGTCCAAAGTTAAAAGACAAACTAATTTTCCCTGTCAAAAATTAAAGAGCAAACTAATTTTCCCTGTCAAAAGTTAAAGGACAAATTAATTGTCCCTGTCCAAAGTTAAAAGACAAACTAATTTTCCCTGTCCAAAGTTAAAGGACAAATTCATTTTCCCTGTCCAAACTTAAAAGACAAACTAATTTTCCCTGTCCAAAGTTAAAAGACAAACTAATTTTCCCTGTCAAAAGTTAAAGGACAAATTAATTTTCCCTGTCCAAAGTAAGGAACAAACTAATTTTCCCTGTCCAAAGTAAGGAACAAACTAATTTTCCCTGTCAAAAGTTAAGGAACAAACTAATTTTCCTTGTCAAAAGTTACGGAACAAATTAATTTTCCCTGTCAAAAGTTAAAAGACAAACTAATTTTCTCTGTCAAAAGTTAAAAGACAAACTAATTTTCCCTGTCCAGAGTTAAAAGACAAACTAATTTTCCCTGTCAGAAGTAAGGAACAAACTAATTTTCCCTGTCAAAAGTTAAAGGACAAACTAATTTTCTCTGTCAAAATTTAAAGGACAAATTAATTTTCCCTGTCCAAAGTTAAAAGACAAACTAATTTTCCCTGTCCAAAGTTAAAAGACAAACTAATTTTCCTTGTCAAAAGTAAGGACAAAACTAATTTTCCCTGTCAAAACTAAGGAACAAACTAATTTTCCCTGTCAAAAGTTAAAGGACAAATTAATTTTCCCTGTCCAAAGTAAGGAACAAACTAATTTTCCCTGTCAAAAGTTAAGGAACAAACTAATTTTTCCTGTCAAAAGTTAAGGAACAAACTAATTTTCCCTGTCAAAAGTTAAAGGACAAATTAATTTTCCCTGTCAAAAGTTAAAAGACAAACTAATTTTCCCTGTCCAAAGTTAAAAGACAAACTAATTTTCCCTGTCCAGAGTTAAAAGACAAACTAATTTTCCCTGTCAAAAGTAAGGAACAAACTCATTTTCCCTGTCAAAAGTTAAAGGACAAATTAATTTTCCCTGTCCAAAGTTAAAAGAAAAACTAATTTTTCCTGTCAAAAGTTAAAGGACAAATTAATTGTCCCTGTCCAAAGTTAAAAGACAAACTAATTTTCCCTGTCAAAAGTTAAAAGACAAACTAATTTTCCCTGTCAAAAAAAGTTAAAAAGTTAAAGGACAAACTAATTTTCCCTGTCAAAAGTTAAAAGACAAACTTAATTTTCCCTGTCAAAAGTTAAAGGACAAACTAATTTTCCCTGTCCAAAGTTAAAGGACAAACTAATTTTCCCTGTCAAAAGTTAATGAACAAACTAATTTTCCCTGTCAAAAGTTAAGGAACAAACTAATTTTTCCTGTCAAAAGTTAAGGAACAAACTAATTTTCCCTGTCAAAAGTTAAAGGACAAATTAATTGTCCCTGTCCAAAGTTAAAAGACAAACTAATTTTCCCTGTCCAAAGTTAAAAGACAAACTAATTTTTCCTGTCAAAAATTAAAGGACAAACTAATTTTCCCTGTCAAAAGTTAAGGAACAAACTAATTTTCCCTGTCAAAAGTTAAAAGACAAACTAATTTTTCCTGTCAAAAATTAAAGGGCAAACTAATTTTCCCTGTCAAAAGTTAAGGACAAACTAATTTTCCCTGTCAAAAGTTAAAAGACAAATTTATTTTTCCTGTCAAAAGTAAGGAACAAACTAATTTTCCCTGTCAAAAGTTAAAGGACAAATTAATTTTCCCTGTCCAAAGTTAAAAGACAAACTAATTTTCCCTGTCCAAAGTTAAAAGACAAACTAATTTTCCTTTTCAAAAGTAAGGACAAAACTAATTTTCCCTGTCAAAAGTTAAGGAACAAACTAATTTTCCCTGTCAAAAGTTAAAGGACAAATTAATTTTCCCTGTCCAAAGTAAGGAACAAACTAATTTTCCCTGTCAAAAGTTAAGGAACAAACTAATTTTTCCTGTCAAAAGTTAAGGAACAAACTAATTTTCCCTGTCAAAAGTTAAAAGACAAACTAATTTTCCCTGTCAAAAGTAAGGAACAAACTAATTTTCCCTGTCAAAAGTTAAAGGACAAACTAATTTTCTCTGTCAAAAGTTAAAGGACAAATTAATTTTCCTTTTCAAAAGTAAGGACAAAACTAATTTTCCCTGTCAAAAGTTAAGGAACAAACTAATTTTTCCTGTCAAAAGTTAAAGGACAAATTAATTTTCCCTGTCCAAAGTAAGGAACAAACTAATTTTTCCTGTCAAAAGTTAAGGAACAAACTAATTTTTCCTGTCAAAAGTTAAGGAACAAACTAATTTTCCCTGTCAAAAGTTAAAAGACAAACTAATTTTCCCTGTCAAAAGTAAGGAACAAACTAATTTTCCCTGTCAAAAGTTAAAGGACAAACTAATTTTCTCTGTCAAAAGTTAAAGGACAAATTAATTTTCCTTTTCAAAAGTAAGGACAAAACTAATTTTCCCTGTCAAAAGTTTAAGGAACAAACTAATTTTTCCTGTCAAAAGTTAAAGGACAAATTAATTTTCCCTGTCCAAAGTAAGGAACAAACTAATTTTTCCTGTCAAAAGTTAAAGGACAAATTAATTTTCCCTGTCCAAAGTAAGGAACAAACTAATTTTTCCTGTCAAAAGTTAAGGAACAAACTAATTTTTCCTGTCAAAAGTTAAGGAACAAACTAATTTTCCCTGTCAAAAGTTAAAAGCCAAACTAATTTTCCGTGTCAAAAGTTAAAGGACAAACTGATTTTCCATGTCCAAAGTTAAAAGACAAACTAATTTTCCCTGTCCAAAGTTAAAAGACAAACTAATTTTTCCTGTCAAAAGTTAAAAGACAAACTAATTTTCCCTGTCAAATTTAAAGAAGAAACTAATTTTCTCTGTCAAAAGTTAAAGGACAAACAAATTTTCCCTGTCAAAAGTTAAAGGACAAATTAATTTTCCCTGTCCAAAGTTAAAAGACAAACTAATTTTCCTTGTCAAAAGTAAGGAAACAATCGTTACAACATTTTCCCCGTTAAACGTTTTTTAGAAACAAAGAACATTTTCACTTTCCAAAGTTAAGGTTACAAGCAACATCAAAGGTCAGTGAATCAAACAACATTTTCCCTGATCAAAGTTATGGAAAGAATCGTCAATATTAGGGAAACATACATATGTATTCCCCATCCTAAATAGGGAACAATATACATTGTTCCGATTTAAATTTATCGGTAACAAACAATCGTTTGCCCTGTCTGTACCGTCACACCAGTTTCCTATTTGTTCACCATGAAACGCTAATCTTTTGTTCAGGTACATGAATGGAGCCGCAAGTAACCCTGATTCTCACGTGGTGGCGTTCGCTGCAGCCCAGGTCAAGAAAGGCATGGAAATCGCAGTAAAGCTGGGGGCAGAAAACTTCGGTAAGTTGTCAACACGTGTGTCACATGGATATAGTCACTCCAGCAGGTTAGTGTGAGTGTCGCTGCTCTACTTTGACTTGTGCATTTCATCTCATCATTGCTTCTACTGTTGGTGTTACTCTAGTTTAGATTGGTGAATTGTCACATCGTTACATCTCTTTACTACTTTGGGGTCGATGAATTGAAGTGCCACATCTCTTCACAAGTGTTGGTCGATGAATTGAAGTGCCACATCTCTTCACAAGTGTTGGTCGATGAATTGAAGTGCCACATCTCTTCACAAGTGTTGGTCGATGAATTGAAGTGCCACATCTCTTCACAAGTGTTGGTCGATGAATTGAAGTGCCACATCTCTTCACAAGTGTTGGTCGATGAATTGAAGTGCCACATCTTTTCACAAGTGTTGGTCGATGAATTGAAGTGTCACATCTCTTCACAAGTGTTGGTCGATGAATTGAAGTGTCACATCTCTTCACAAGTGTTGGTCGATGAATTGAAGTGTCACAGCTCTTAACAAGTGTTGGTCGATGAATTGAAGTGTCACATCTCTTCACAAGTGTTGGTCGATGAATTAAAGTGTCACATCTCTTCACAAGTGTTGGTCGATGAATTGAAGTGCCACATCTCTTCACAAGTGTTGGTCGATGAATTGAAGTGCCACATCTCTTCACAAGTGTTGGTCGATGAATTGAAGTGTCACATCTTTTCCCCAGTTTTGGTCACATTGCTACACTAGTTTGCGTCGGTGAATTTCGTGTCAAATCACTACTCACTTTGAGTTGGTGAATGTTGTATTGTCGTTGTTATTGTTGGTTATTTTTTTCACATCGATATCAAGATTCTGTCCTTATTTGGTCTTGAAGAGGCGGGCCGAATAGTGGAAATAGAGAAAATTTTCTGAAATCCTTCTTTCGTGGGAATGCCTTGATTCAGTTCCGAATTTGGTCTGAAACATACCAAGGTGAAAGGAATCTAATTTTGAACCAAGCCGGAGCCTGACACCGGGCCCAACACGGGAAATGTAAGTTTATTTAAAAAAGATCGTTCTTCTGTACAAGAATATTGTCCAAGTTTGAAGCATTTTTCATGAATAGTGAATATGACTTACGTTCGACCACATGGCCGGGAACCAATAGGGAAAGTATTCGTCATATTTGAATTTCTTAGTTAAATGAATTGATTGCTGAATTGGTCAGGTGAGCGATGCAGGCCCATTTGGTCTCTTGTCTTAACGTAGTGCTGTGTAATCATACATTGTTTGACGTACAATACAAAGTACTTCTTACGAAGCATATCAATAAATTGCATCTTGCGTAAAATACAGACTATACATAAATGTGTAATGTAGCAGTGTTGTCTGTTTTCAGTGTTTTGGGGAGGCCGAGAGGGCTACCACACTATCCTCAACACCGATGTTCTTACAGAACTCACAAACATGGCCAACTTTTTTAAAATGGCAGCAGGTAAGAATTGTATAGATTTCCTCTGTTAATGTATTACAATATTTCCATTGTGAAAACCATATTGTTAGTTGTAAAATATTAAACTGAACATGTTGTATATCTGTAGCTTACAAGAAGAAATTAGGGTTTACAGGAAATCTGCTGATCGAACCTAAACCAAAGGAACCAGCAAAGCACCAGTATGATTACGGTAGGTAACAATGTATACAGTGTTCACAGATGGTGGGGATCAACATCATATCTTAGGCAGAAATGAACAGTACTTCGGACAGAAATAAACGGTCAAGCTTTCTATTCAGAAAGACATGAGCGCATTTTAAAGAAAACTTGGTACTCACGTTTCCATGCAATGTAGGAAAATATTGCATATGCTAGTGGTTACTCAACGCCTGTTACAACTCGAAATACACCACATGTCAACATAAATATAGTCATCAAATGATATGTACCAGTAGATATGTACCAGTAGATATATACCAGTAGATATGTATGGTAGATATGTACCAGTAGATATATACCAGTAGATATGTATGGTAGATATGTACCAGTAGATATTTACCAGTAGATATGTATGGTAGATATGTACCAGTAGATATTTACCAGTAGATATGTATGGTAGATATTTACCAGTAGATATGTATGGTAGATATGTACCAGTAGATATGTATGGTAGATATGTACCAGTAGATATGTATGGTAGATATGTACCAGTAGATATTTATGGTAGATATCTACCAGTAGATATTTATGGTAGATATGTACCAGTAGATATGTATGGTAGATATTTATGGTAGATGTGTATGGTAGATATTTACCAGTAGATATGTATGGTAGATATTTACCAGTAGATATTTATGGTAGATATGTACCAGTAGATATTTATGGTAGATATGTATGGTAGATATTTACAGTAGATGTGTATGGTATATATTTACCAGTAGATATGTATGGTAGATATTTACCAGTAGATATGTATGGTAGATATGTACCAGTAGATATTTACCAGTAGATATGTATGGTAGATATGTACCAGTAGATATGTATGGTAGATATTTACCAGTAGATATTTATGGTAGATATGTATGGTAGATATGTACCAGTAGATATGTATGGTAAATATGTACCAGTAGATATGTATGATAGATATTTACCAGTAAATATGTATGGTAGATATGTACCAGTAGATATGTATGGTAGATATTTACCAGTAGATATGTACCAGTAGATATTTACCAGTAGATATGTACCAGTAGATATTTACCAGTAGATATGTATCAGTAGCCTTACATACATTATGTTGCCATCTTATGGAGGATACCGTCGCTGATGTTTTTTTTTTTTTTTTTTTGACAGACGCCATGACTGTGATCGGATTCTTGAAACATTTCGGATTGGACAAAGATTTCAAGGTCAGTCGCTATCTTGTATAGAGCTTCACATCGTCTCTGTTCTCGTCACTCTTGATATCTTGTGTGTCGCCTAATCTCCAGAATTAATACATTACAAACTTGTTGAATATGACTTGTACACTAGTTAGCTATAACATAAGTTGCCCCAGCATCTGAAATCCGTTAGCATTATTTCTGGTCACTTTTATATACCACATATTTAGATCATAATCTGTTGGTATTTCAGCTGAACATTGAGCCCAACCACACGACTCTGGCCGGTCATGGATATGAGCACGATATCATCATGGCTTCAGCGTAAGTTTTTCCCAAGAATGATCAATTTGGTCATTGATCATACCAGAAGTGTATTAATATTCTGCCTCGTTCTTGAAGATCGACTTTTTGTAGAGGGTAACTCCTCAATTCATGTTCGATATAGTGACATCGAACATATCACAACCTAATGGAATCAGGGTAAATTCAGGTATACTACACCGATATCATCTCTGGATTGTAACAATGGCTTCTGTAGTATGGAACCATTACTATTTGGATTGGATAAGCAGGCGTTCTATGTTTACTGTATGTAATTTTATTGGTCAACAGGTTCGGAATGTTGGGTTCCGTGGATTCTAACACCGGATCACCAGACCTAGGATGGGATACGGATCAGTTCCCTATGGATACCAAAAACGCTACACTGGTGCTCAAGGTAAACCCTATCATTTGTCTTACCTCGGCTTGATGGTGTATTTCCTTTTGTGGTAATGTCTCACACTGTTTATAGTTGCTTTTGTCCGGTCCATAATAGATATCCTCATCCCTGTAAAATAAATGTTTCCATGAAACGTTTATATTTTCAGGCAATTCTGGAACAAGGTGGATTACAGCCCGGTGGTCTTAACTTCGACTGTAAAGTACGCAGGGAGTCCACCGATCTCAGAGACATGTTCATTTCTCATATTGGTAGGTCGACTGTAAAGTTCGCAGGGAGTTAACTGATCTGAGACATGTTCATATCCCAGATACCTCAGACAGACTAATTATTGAATTCTAGTTGTTATTTTGATAAAGCCTCAGACAGATAGATGAGTTTTTGTGATAATTCGTAAATCAATCCACAGGTGCAATGGATACCTTTGCTCGAGGCCTGAAGAACGCTGCAGCAATTCTAGAGGATGGCGTCATCACAGGACAAGTCAAGGTAAGTTATCGCCAATCTTCACAGATATGTTCAAAGTTTTGACATATTTCAATGTTAAATCGAAATTGTCAGTTTATTGATTATAAAAGCATCAAGACCGGATGAAACATATTCATATGAACACACACACACACACAGAAATGTCTCATTCACATGTGTCTTTATACAAACATCCTTCCACTTAGTCTTAGCATTAAAACTACAATGTCATATTTGCCTTCGAAGGAGCGATACGGCAGCTTCCAGTCCGGAATAGGCGAGAAGATCAATAAAGGACAGACGTCCTTCGAGGAGCTAGAGGTAAATATTGTAGTAATAAATAAGCTTTAGAAGAACTGGGGAGTGAATAGTGCTGTTGGCATTAGCTATCATATTGCCTTAGGAAATAGTTAGCATTAGGAGAACTGAAGGTAAATATCATAGCAGGCATTAAGTAGGCATTATAATCAGACCATTCTTTACACTTTGGAATCGATACATCTTGAATCAGTATAATTTACTGACCGCCGTTTAGAGAATTCAGAGTCGATCTTTTTAATGTAACGCATTCTTGTTCATTTTCAGGAATATATCACAAAGAACGGAGTCCCAAGTAATCCGTCGGGCCGACAGGAGCACTATGAATCAATGATGAATCATTACGTCTAAACAGAGACCGGAAACAGCTGCAATCAAGGAACAATTACAGATCATAACGGACCCATGAACGTCATAACAGACCCGTGAACGTCATAACGGACCCATGAACTTTATAACGGACCCATGAACGTCATAACAGACTCATGAACTTAATAACGGCCAATGAACTTTATAACGGACCCATGAACTTCATAAAGGACCCATGAACGTCATGACGGACTACAGAATGCGGACCAAATCAACTGACTCAGGACCGAACATGTTAAAGCTGTTGTTGGATCGAACTATCTTAATATCAGTGTTGTTTTCGCTTATACGTATGATTTACCTATACATAGTTAACACTTTCTGAATTCGATATATTTCAGTTTATCAATAAAGCCACATTTTGAAGTTCTAATCTGTTTTCATTTTCTAACGTAAGGAGGAGATGATGATGATGATGATGATGATGATGATGTTCATCTTGGAAATATTTTATTTTGCACTTTAAATGGTCATTAGGTGGCAAGAAATGAAGAACACGTGTGATTTTGTTATAAGTGGCCGGCTTTGTTTATTCAAGATAATGACTATCAGTACTTTGAGCCCGGTAAGATTAGATCCGTCGTTGTCATCTTCAGGTTACCTGTTACAAGGCCACGAAAACTGGGAGAATAATCATGTTAGAATCACAAACTGATAACTCGGTATATTCTGCCGAATTCATTCTATCATTCTTTGTACCCAGCATTGTTTCAATCAAACTATCAACACGACCTCTACATAGCTCTGTGACCAAGCTATGTTTGATACCAATCCCAAACTTTATCTCTGTGATTTCGTTCTGCAACCAGCCATTTGATATTTGGTTTATAACTAATATTAAACAGTGTTTGATAAAAGAAAATTAAGCATGAATTGATAAATACAACCAAAGGAGACAAAACAATGCTAAACATTTGTAAACATACTGCGGTGGGTCGCAATGTCAACGTTTTTGCTTTACTTGTGACGTCAGCGATCTCGTGACGCTGAATTTAGTCACGCTATCATTAATTTTTCGTTTAAAAGTGTTCGATATCAAACAAAAAGAAAAAACCGGCATGCCAACGATATTGATTCAAATTCGATGACATTAGAGCAGAACAAATAGGAAAATTAGAAAGACTTACACAAGAGACTCCTGAATGTTGTGGATTGGTGAGCGTCTTCTGGTCCATCGACGACACGAGCCGTGTAAATCTTTAATAACCCAAAAAGCTATGTAGAAACTAATGAAATTCGAGACAAAAAAGGTTTTCTAAAGTTTCTACGCCAGCCTGAATAATTTTTAGCTCACCTGGCCCAAAGGGCCCATAGCGCAGCGTCCGTCGTCCGCTCGTCCTGCGTCATACTGGAAGGCATAGAATCATTTTATTTGGCTGGAAGGTTCCTTTGATTCAACAAAGTTTGCGAAAAGAAAGTACCTTGACACATATTCAAGGTCACAGACGTCAAATGTGTTAAAGCCTTTAAACGGCTTCTTCCAAAATACCGAAAGGCCTAGAATGATTATATTTGGCTGGAAGGTTCCTTTGATAAAACCCAACAAAGTTTGCAAAAAGAAAGTACCTTGACTCATATTCAAGGTCACAGAGGTCAAATGTGTTAAAACATTTAAACGACTTCTTCCAAAATACCAGAAGGCCTAGAATGATAATAAGCCCAACAAAGTTTGCAAAAAGAAATGACCTTGACCCATATTCAAGTTCACAGAGGTCAAATGCGTTAAAACCTTTAAATGACTTCTTCCAAAATACCGGAAGGCCTAGAATGAGTATGTTTGGCTGGAACGTTCCTTTGATAAAGCCCAACAAAGTTTGCAAAAAGAAATGACCTTGACATATATTCAAGGTCACAGAGGTCAAATGTGTTAAAACCTTTAAACGATTTCTTACAAAATACCGTATGGCCTAGAATCATTATATTTGGCTGGAAGGTTCCTTTGATTCAACAAGGATGGCAAAAAGAAATTACCTTGACTCATATTCAAGTTCACAGAGGTCAAATGTGTTAAAACCTTTAAACGACTTCTTCCCAAATACCGGAAGGCCTAGAATAATTATATTAGTCTATGTTCCTCTTATGGTGCTCTACAAAGTTTGCTAAAAGAAATGACCTTGACCAATCTTCAAGGTCACAGGGGTCAAATGTGTTAAAACTTTTAAACAATTTCTTATGAAACATAGAAAAGCCTAGAATGGTTATATTTGGCCAGTATGTTCCTTTTATGAAGTCCAAGAAAGTTTGCAAAAAGAAATGACCTTGCCCCATAGTCAAGGTCACAGGGGTCAAATGTGTTTTTAAATTACATTTTCTGATGATCCAAAACATCTAGGATAGTTATATTATTTCAAAATTGGTTCTCAAGGATGCCCGGTGATATTTGAGAACAAAAATGACCTTGACCCATATTCAAGGTCACAACAGTCAAAGGTGTTAAACCTTTGAACAACTTCTGATTAAGCTAAAGCCTTAAGATCATAACATTTGTCCAAAAGGTTCCCTTAATGGTGCCCACATAGTGTGTGAAAAAATAGCTTGACCTATTATGATATTTAAGGTCATTGAGATTAGATTTGGTAAAATAGTTAATCAACTTCTTCTGATTAACCAAAAACCCATCATATTTGGCCAGTAAAGGCTTATATAGAAATGACTTATTTTGGAATACTAAGGGACAGAACCCATATGGAGTAATTTGTCATATTGCTTTAAGCATCTACTGTGGAACATTTGCACAGATATTGTACAGTTGGTCATAAAGATCCAGGTGAGCGATACAGGTCCTCTGGGCCTCTTGTATAGGGATGGTTGTCGACATGCTTTCTAAAGTTTCTACTCCAGCCTGTATAATCTTTTAGGGATGGTTGTCAACATGCTTTCTGAAGTTTCTACGCCAGCCTGTATAATCTTTTAGGGATGGTTGTCAACATGCTTTCTGAAGTTTCTACGCCAGCCTGTATAATCTTTTAGGGATGGTTGTCAACATGCTTTCTGAAGTTTCTACTCCAGCCTGTTTAATCTTTCAGGGATGGTTGTCAACATGCTTTCTGAAGTTTCTACGCCAGCCTGTATAATCTTTTAGGGATGGTTGTCAACATGCTTTCTGAAGTTTCTACGCCAGCCTGTATAATCTTTTAGGGATGGTTGTCAACTTGTTTTCTAAAGTTTCTTCGTCAGTGTCAATATTCTTTGAATGATGATTGACAACATTTTTTCTGAAATTTCTTCGTCAGTGTGAATAATCCTTATAATTTCTTCGTCAGTGTCAATATTCTTTGAATGATGATTGACAACATGTTTTCTGAAATTTCTTCGTCAGTGTGAATAATCCTTATAATTTCTTCGTCAGTGTGAATAATCCTTGAATGATGATTGACAACATTTTTTCTGAAATTTCTTCGTCAGTGTAAATAATCCTTGAAATTTCTTCGTCAGTGTGAATAATCCTTGAAATTTCTTCGTCAGTGTGAATAATCCTTGAAATTTCTTCGTCAGTGTGAATATTCCTTGAATGATGATTGACAACATGCTTTCTGAAATTTCTGGCCATTTTTGAGACAAATTATTTATGTATTGGCAAATCTGGTCATGTAATGATAAGGAAACACATTGACGAATTGAAGGTGAACATTTATTCTAAATAATCCAACTTCTCCGGAGAGCTAATGCTATTGCACGCACAAATCTTCCACTCTGTCTGATTACTACGTTTGCTCAGTTAAATTCATTTCTAAGCATTTTTCCTCCTATACATACATCTCTTAAGCATAGTCTTCTATCCAAACACATTTCCAACGTATATATGGTATTTACAAAGTTGTCTCTCAGCATCCACACACTTAACAGCAACATTCTAGATAAAGTAATTGTTCCTTTATCTAATGCCTTAGTCTTATAATTTCCATTGTACCCGCAAACAATTTATGAAAAAAGATGCATTATAAAAAAGATATTAATGCCTTCAGTCAAATAAATGCTGGTCTACAAAAGTTTCTGTTTAAAATTTTGCCAAAACAATAACATAGCAAGCTGTACAGAACAACACAAATAATTGTACGGTTACGGCAATATCATGGATATATGGAAGATAATTATCACGTGTGATTGACATCACAAAATAAAACAAAATTACCTACTACTACATTTCATTACCAGTGATTCTTACTTTTGATAAAGTGTTCTCCATCAGTATCATGAGCCTGGAACTCTCTGTTACTGAGCAGTTGAAAATAACGGTTTTAATTTCTGTCAAAAATAGGGAAGCACTTTACACCCCCCAAAAACAGACAAATAAGGAACTGATCACTTTAAACCAGTGTATAATTTGTACAGTCAATGAATCCAGAAACAAGAGGCTCAAGGGGCCTGAATATATCACCTTGCTAATTCTGCGATTTAATACAAGAGGTCTAGCGGTCTTGATGGTCACCTGAGATAAGCAATATTGAATATAAAGGTTAAAGGATAGTTATGAAACAGAAATTAAATTAAATATAGTAAGCTAGTGTCAATACATGCATACCATAAAAACTGTTATCCTATACTAATAATTCTTCCAAAGTTATTGAAAAATAAACTACATTATGCTCAAAATGAAAATTACAATCATTTTTCCTCCTTGAACTATAGCGTAAATTTACCCCCTCCCCATGTGGAAATGTGAGACCCTTGGCCATGAAATTCACAATTTTGGTAAAGCAACTAAGATGCTTCCATTAATGAAAAGTATTTGATTCTACCATATCTGGGTGTTGGGAAGAAGATTTTTTAAATTAAATTAATTTGACCCCTTTGGCCCACCCTTCAGGCCCCCCTTTTTTTGGCGGGGGGGACTGCATAATCCACAATTTTGGTGTAACTTAGGCTAAGGGGGTTTTTTGCAAAATTTCATTGAAATCGGATCAGGAGTTTTTGAGAAGAAGTTGAAAATTTTAAACTGTTTTACAGACACATGACGCTGGATGAAGGTGATAAAAATAGTCTAAATAGATCCTGCTTTTTAACATTTCCAAATCTGAATGCTGTGCTTAAATGATAAAACTTCCATCAACACAATAATTAAAGAATAGAAAGTTTTGAAACCAAACATCAAATTGAGGAGATACCATATCTTCCATTTGTAGCACATAAAGATACTTCAAGCAGATGGGTAGGTATGGATACATTATTTGACAATCTCAGCTGTACAAACTGAAACAACAGTCATTCTGACTTCCCTACTCTTCTTTAAATTATAGACAATAACAGATTGACATTTATATGACCTGAGTCATAAAACTAAAGTTAAATATTTAGGTAAAATAAAATACAATAATAATGAGATCATTTATTTCAACACCAACCTAAAATATATTGGTTATGAGTTTCACTCTTCCTCACTCCCCTGCTTGTTCTATAGGGTTATTGAGTGTATATATTAAAATTACTATAAAAGGATAGTTCTATATGTAGTTATGTTTCACTCTAACTAAAGATAAAGATGACTGTCACATAAAACTAAAGATGTACATTCTTGTTTGCCATAATAGCAGAGTCTGACACTAACTAACGATAAAGGTCAGGGGTCAAGTTGACACTCATTAGGGATAATTTAGTGAAAAAGATTATGGTACATGTTTGCCAACAATTAGTCAGCGATATAGGTTAAAGGTCATATCTGTCATTTACTGATAGCTAGGTACCAATAAATGTCTTCAAACTACATTGCTAACAGGATATTGATAAATGTTCGTTTATAAGGCTAACTAGATACAGATAGGGGTCGTCTACAATGCTAACTAGATACAGATAAATGGTCGCCTACAAAGCTAACTAGAGACAGATAAAGGGTCGTCTACAAAGCTAACTAGATACAGATAAAGGGTCGTCTACAAAGCTAACTAGAGACAGATAAAGGGTCGTCTACAAAGCTAACTAGAGACAGATAAAGGGTCGTCTACAAAGCTAACTAGATACAGATAAAGGGTCGTCTACAAAGCTAACTAGAGACAGATAAAGGGTCGTCTACAAAGCTAACTAGAGACAGATAAAGGGTCGTCTACAAAGCTAACTAGATACAGATAAAGGGTCGTCTACAAAGCTAACTAGATACAGATAAAGGGTCGTCTACAAAGCTAACTAGAGACAGATAAAGGGTCGTCTACAAAGCTAACTAGATACAGATAAAGGGTCGTCTACAAAGCTAACTAGATACAGATAAAGGGTCGTCTACAAAGCTAACTAGAGACAGATAAAGGGTCGTCTACAAAGCTAACTAGATACAGATAAATGGTCGTCTACAAAGCTAACTAGAGATAGATAAAGGGTCGTCTACAATGCTAACTAGATACAGATAAATGGTCGTCTACAATGCTAACTAGATACAGATAAATGGTCGTCTACAAAGCTAACTAGATACAGATAAAGGGTCGTCTACAAAGCTAACTAGATACAGATAAATGGTCGTCTACAAAGCTAACTAGATACAGATAAAGGGTCGTCTACAAAGCTAACTAGAGACAGATAAAGGGTCGTCTACAAAGCTAACTAGATACAGATAAAGGGTCGTCTACAAGCTAACTAGATACAGATAAAGGGTCGTCTACAATGCTAACTAGATACAGATAAAGGGTCGTCTACAAAGCTAACCTGCTAGGTACCATTGTCACAATCAGAATGAGTGATCAGAATGCAACAAAATAAATCAAAATTACGGCTGTCATAATCAGAATTCCTTATCAGAAAAAAAGTAATCCAAAATAACTACTGTTCAATACATATACAAACACGTACATAAAATGTACCATGGAGTTACTGTGTACACTGACATATTGTACAACTCTGTATTCAATTGTACGAAGTTACACTGCACAATACTGTATGTCAATGTACAGAGATGTACTATGTTTATTACAATGTTAAAAACCATATTGTACAACACTTTCTGAAAATGTACAACATAATACATACAACACCAATTTGACAAAAGATGAATCATTAATAAGCTGTTTGCTTGTCTCTTCTTTTCCTGGTCCATACATCCCTTCATCATAACCACTGATCTCATTTTCTCATATAAATAATACATATTTCAATTGCCTTTCTTTCACAAATCACTAGGCCACCTGTGATCCTGTCTTGTTTACTGTTACACCAACATATCCATTTTGATTGTACTGCTAATGTATTTCACTGAGGTACAAAGTTCAATTAGTGACCACTTTATTGTCCTCATTCAGCTTTAACTTAAAAACTTTAAGAAAAGAAATTAATTCTAATATTGTAAAATCACACCTCAGTATATTGATTCAGTTCACAAAGCACATTATCACTTTTACCAAAGTATTTCTACACTAACAACTGAGCTTTAACAGTCTTCCTGTGCTAGAGTGACAAATCAACGACAGATTGTATACCTCTTTGTTCTACATTCCAATTTCAATTACCTCTTTTCAGCTGAGAACATAATTCTCCATCGAAACTTCTCCCTAAATCCAATAGATTTAAGGAAGAGTCTATTGATGTTTAGCTGACTTTAACATCATGTTTACAGGGTTAAGGAAGAGTCTATTGATGTTTAGCTGACTTTAACATCATGTTTACAGGGTTAAGGAAGAGTCTATTGATGTTTAGCTGACTTTAACATCATGTTTACAGGGTTAAGGAAGAGTCTATTGATGTTTAGCTGACTTTAACATCATGTTTACAGGGTTAAGGAAGAGTCTATTGATGTTTAGCTGACTTTAACATCATGTTTACAGGGTTAAGGTAGAGTCTATTGATGTTTAGCTGAGTTTAACATCATGTAGATTTATCCTAGTTTTTATTTTTACTTTATATAACTATGAATGACACTTGTCATTATAATACATATCTGAGGACAATTTAGAGGACAATATTTAATGCTGTAAGTAGACTGTCAATATTTTGATATCATTTCTTGAGAATGTTTATTTCTAACTTGAGGTAAATTAATTAGCAATAAATAGAACTGTATGAGTGGTATATGTTAGACACTGAACAGATTGGCAACACATGGACAATGAGCAGACAGCCAGAATCATTTGACATTAATTCATAACAATGAATAGGATACCCATCGTAAATGAAGTCACATAAGATATGAACATGTGAAATTTCATTGATTGTGATTACTATAATTTGAAAAAGCTTGTTTTGCAACTATTGTAAAATAATTAAGTTTATATTTTCAATGAGGATTCAGTTTCGTGGTCAACAGATTTTTCTCTTTTACCAAGAGTGATACAATATCTGTATCTATTGCAAAAAAGTGAAAATGCCTCTAAAAAATAAAGCTCACAATTAAATTGTGGAACACTGACAATCACACTAGATTGATGACATGGCAGTAAATTATATTAGCATAATATTTGATTATTATTTTATTACATTAGACTTGTGATATTGTAGTATGGTACTACAATATCACATTGGTATGGTATGATATAAAACATATTAAGATAGAATGAAATTGCTGTATAATTGAAGATGTATAACTCACATCGAACCAATTCTCATTATAGCACCTTGGAATTAAAAAAAATATAAAATATATATCTCCAAGAAGCCAGCAGTTTCAGATACAAAGCAAAATTTCACTATTTTGAGTTGGTACTTGATCAGGATGGAAAATATCTGTGAGTACTTCCTTCACACAGTATGTGTTTACTATCAACTATAATAAAGTAACTAAATGGATTGAACAGTTTGTATGTAAGTGTGTTATAAACTATATGTAACTGTATTAATTATTGTGCATTAATCTAACTATGCAAATCTATTTGTGTAATGTGTATTTATATATAACCATATATGTCTAATTTAACTGTAATTATCATACTGACCATTATTAGTACATGTATATTTATATAAGTACATGTATATCTATATAAGTACATGTATATAAGTACATGTATATATATATATAAGTACATGTATATATATATATAAGTACATGTATATTTATATAAGTACATGTATATAAGTACATGTATATTTATATAAGTACATGTATATAAGTACATGTATATATATATAAGTACATGTATATTTATATAAGTACATGTATATTTATATAAGTACATGTATATTTATATAAGTACATGTATATTATTTATGTATATATATATAAGTACATGTATATAAGTACATGTATATAAGTACATGTATATATATATAAGTACATGTATATTTATATAAGTACATGTATATTATTTATTTAAGTACATGTATATAAGTACATGTATATATATATAAGTACATGTATATATATATAAGTACATGTATATTTATATAAGTACATGTATATAAGTACATGTATATTTATATATGTACATGTATATAAGTACATGTATATTTATATACATAAGTACATGTATATATATATATAAGTACATGTATATTTATATAAGTACATGTATATAAGTACATGCATATTTATATATATCTATATAACTACTTGTGTTTTTATATAAGGACCTAAGGTATCTGTTTTCACTCCAAACGTGACGTGTACGTTGTAGGTCCTTCATTAAATCCTTTCTCTTATCATCAGAGCTGTAGCTATGACCACTGAGTGCAGTAGCTGTAAATATTTAGGTCGCACATCTCTACACAATCCTTACACGAAAAAGGCTTCAAATGATGGCAAGTTTAAGCTACCTTACAATGGTTTAATCCATAAGCAGCAGTGTAACCAGCAGAGATATCACTGGTTTAGACATAACAACATCCAACCAATGGTGCCATGGTGATATGTTACAGAACCATCTTCAAGACATCGCTCAACTTTCAACAGGAAGGTCGGTTCCAAAGTATCTGTCTCCAAAATTTCCTGAAATAAAAGTTTCTTCATGATGAAAACTTCAGTTAACTTAACAACTTGTAATACATGACAAAATCAGGCTGTTTGTTTTCTGAACTAAAGTTTCAACAGGGTCCTGCTTTAGTCTCACATGAACTTCTCAGAAAAGATTGATTTTATATCTTTCCCACTATTTACCTTGATTCTGTTTTAACATACACTTTTCATTATAAAGAATTATTTGGCATTGTCATTTTAGTTTTCTTTATAAAAAACCAATTAATTTTTTCCAGTTATGTTCAGGTCCTTACCTATTCCAGGTAGTATGTGGAATTTGTCATTGACATGCTTGTCCACAGCCGTAGTGACAATCTTCACCTTAGGGAAGGCATACGCCACGGAGTGTACGCCTGAAGAACACAAAACAGACAGAAGTTAGAGAAGGTATACACCACGGAGTGTACGCCTCAGGAACACAAAACAGACAGAAGTTAGAGAAGGTATACACCACGGAGTGTACGCCTCAGGAACACAAAACAGACAGAAGTTAGAGAAGGTATACACCACGGAGTGTACGCCTCAGGAACACAAAACAGACAGAAGTTAGAGAAGGTATACACCACGGAGTGTACACCTGATGAATAACACACACAAAGGTTAGGGCATGTGGAGACCAACAAATGTACACCTGGGGAACACTACAAACCTATCACTAATGACACAGAATCTCTACAGACAATCACTGACAGACTACAAACCTATCACTAATGACACAGAATCTCTACAGACAATCACTGACAGACTACAAACCTATCACTAATGACACAGAATCTCTACAGACAATCAGACAGACTACAAACCTATCACTAATGACACAGAATCTCTACAGACAATCACTGACAGACTACAAACCTATCACTAATGACACAGAATCTCTACAGACAATCACTGACAGACTACAAACCTATCACTAATGACACAGAATCTCTACAGACAATCAGACAGACTACAAACCTATCACTAATGACACAGAATCTCTACAGACAATCACTGACAGACTATATAAACCTATCACTAACGACACAGAATCTCTACAGACAATCACTGACAGACTACAAACCTATCACTAATGACACAGAATCTCTACAGACAATCACTGACAGACTACAAACCTATCACTAATGACACAGAATCTCTACAGACAATCAGACAGACTACAAACCTATCACTAATGACACAGAATCTCTACAGACAATCACTGACAGACTACAAACCTATCACTAATGACACAGAATCTCTACAGACAATCACTGATGAACTGAAAACAAATCTGTTATTGTGTCATCTGTTTTATTTAGTTTGAACACAACCCCATCATACTGACCTGACTGAGCCATCAACAGAGACAGTAGAAGAATGTTTTCCTCAGGAACGTCATGGTCCAACAGCACCCTGATGGCCATCATAGCTGCTGCTCCAGTGGCAACTGTGGCATCCATCAACATCACATGTGTCTCTTTAATATCCTTTGGAAGTCGTAGGTAATGTAGCTGTGACAAGGAAACAATGAAATAAAATATAAACACACAGCCAAATATCCTTTATCAGCCTACCAGAATAACATGTATCAGCTGAATCCTACTGAGAAGTGTCTCACCTCTGGCTCCCCTGTATCAAAGTTGGTCTGTATGAGGATTTTGCCGAGCCTGATGTCCTTGCAAACTTCACAAAGAGCCTGTTCCATGGTCTCCCCAGCACGTAATATAGACACCCCACATATCTAGGGACAAAAGTCAGACAATGATATATGATATAGGATTGCAAAGATTGGGTAATTTAGAAACAATATCATGGAATTTAGAAAATGCTGATATCTCTAAATAATATTGTATAACACCAACATTGAAATCTGATACATCTTCCAAAATATAAACAAACTAATTTCCCTTCAATTTTAAAAGCTAAGTAAGCTTTTTGGAAAAAATTACTTCCTAATGCATCTCTTAGATCAGAAACGACTGAAAAAAAAAGTTTATCTTTTCAGGCTCCTTTTCCAACAGTTATCATTGTTTTTAACAAGTGTTAATTTACATCTACTTGTCAATCTTTTTCACAGTTTCAATATGATTTCTCTATGTTAAACAAAAAGTCAAAGGTTCCTGTAACACTCTTACCACCAAATTCATTTAAAAGCTGACATGCTTATGAAGTATTTCAAGTCTTAAAACCTCTTCCTCCATCTTTGACTATGAAAATCTTAGCTTGCATGAGGCATGACTTGAAGCTCATGAAAAAAATATTTTGAAGATGCATGGTTTATGAGAAATCACCTAAAATGTTTAAAACATTGTATCCCTAGAACCTGGATTAAAAACCACATTTCACTAAAGCAAGACTCTAGATTTATAAAACATTAATCATATAAAGTAGAGGATACCAAACAAACTTTTTTCCCCTGATGCTCCTTCAATGAGCCAAAATTATACTGTAATAAGTCATTATATACTGTTGATCATGAAATCCCCTTGGACATCAATGAACTAAAACAATTAAGAGTCTAACTGTAGCTACCGATTACTTAAAAAATCAAACATTCAACACATTAACAGCTCAAAACAAGGTGTCCATGCTGAAAGTTATGAATATCTCATGAATCAATGTTGAATGCCTGTTGTTTGACCTGCTTGAAATCTGTCTACCAGTAAACATCACACCATGCAGCAGCCATCTTCAACAATTCTCAAAGAGGCAAGGGAGGTAACTCAAACACTGTTAAACTTTTTGCTGTAGTATCAGCACAGAAATTCAAAAAGGCCAAAGGTAGTTTTGTGTCAGTTATAAATGACAAGAAGAATTCCATTCTTTAATCATTTATACATATAAAGGTATGTATAATCAGGAGTATTTTCCTATTTTAGGCCTAAAGTTTATGAAGATAAAAATCTGAATTCATTTGGTTTAGGATTATATCACCCTTCAAGGTAAATTTTTCTTCTTACATCCATTTCAAATACTTTCTTTTAACATAAATTTTGAACATCAAAAACTTCCATAAAATTGTAAAATATTGGTACATGGTAACATCTGTGTACCAGTAGAAAAACAGAAGTGAGACAAGAAGATGACATTAATGTCTTGATTTACCTTTGACCTTTGAAATGTACAGGAAAAAGAAGGCACAAGTTTACATGTATCAAAAACTGAGAGAAGAGTTTTGATGACAAACAAGGTCAGGGCTAGCATGTACCAACACATAATCATTCTTGATAGGTGAGTAGCAGTAGTAGGTAATCATCAGTAGTTACCAGGTAGTAGGTTTACATATGACACAGTTTCCATTGTCAGTGTGATCATTATAGCTTAATTGACTGTGTACAAAACTTCCACAATCCAACACAGTAATGTGTAACATACTGACACATGTTTACTTATTTACTTTGGACTCCAAATAAAGATACCAAGCCTGTCAAAAATAAAACTTAACACAATGAACCAATTTATAACTAACAAAATACATCTTCAACTCAGGATTCATGAAATAGGGAAACTCACATTGAAAATAGTCTAATTAGGTAGGACAGTAAAATGGCTGACACAAACCTGATGTAAATACATCTACAACTCAGGATTTACAAGATAGACTGAAAATAGTCTAATTAGGTGTGACAGTGAAATGGCTGACACAAACCTGATATTTTTTTGACACTTCATATATAACTTCTTGCTTACTGCCATTTGCACAAGCATTACTTATCTCACCAAGAGCTAAATAACCCCAAATAATGAAAACAATTTCAATCGATTGACTAGCTTGCTGTACCCTTAATTGGCAGCTGATTTGTATGTATATTTGAGTATATACCTGACATTTGTGTAGTTTTTGTTACTGTACCACTGTTCCCTTTGTACTGCGTACTACAGTAAAATTGACAATCATTGTGCTGATCAGTTAAATAACTGAAAATTAGATGAAGACACTTTTTTCATCATGTTAATGATAGAACTTCTTGTACAGAATGTAAATTGAGAGAATTTATTTTAATATTTAGTAACAATTGACTTACAGAGGTTATTCTTTTTTATGATTTGAAACATTTAGCCCACAGAAACATCTGAAAAATTACATAAATTGTTGTAACCTGGCAACAGTAACAAATGTATCTATTGGCCTTTTTTGTTTTATTTAGTGTGAATACAATTGGATACAAAAATATTTTATGTAGCTAATAAGTAGAGCATATTATAGAAAATGGCTATCTATAAATGTCTCAAAACTTCATCAATATAAACAGAATGTTCATGATAAGTAACCTGTGATCTATCTGAACTATAAATACCGTGGTTACACATAAAGGACACCGAGGTGAGATAGGCCGGGCATCCTGGTTAGACAGCTTACAACATAGCTACTTGTCCTTGTAATCTAGAGCAGAATCCAGAAATATATCAGCTACATTGCTTAATTCAAGTGATTTGGATTGGATGGTGAAGGATATATACACACAATATAAAATGGGAAAGAGATTCAAGATGTCAAAGAGATTATCTAAAAACCAATAAACCTAGTCTTATCTATAGCATTGTTTAGTCAAGGTTGTTTTCCACCTGTCAGCTCATCACTTCTTACTCCTCAAGTTGATGGTTAAGTTCCAATGGAGAGTGCTTTATCAGCAGTGTTTTGTTACATATCAAGTATGTGCTTGTTATATTTGTATAATCATTGATGTAAGTGGCAAAAAAAATCTAAACATAAAAAGGAAAGAAATTACTGACTATATTTTAAAGGTTTGTATGTGTAAAGGATAATGATAATTAGAGTTATAATACTTTTCATCAAAATTAAATAAAACAAAATGCTGTAATATATATAAAATGTGTGATTAAACAAATGGGCAGTGCAAATTGAAAAGTGGAATTAGGTTATCCTCCTTGTTAACAGATGATAATTGGATCTCCTGTATGATTTTGAAAATACTGGATAGAAAAAATTGAATTCGATTAAATAAAATAATGAGTACAAATCCCCTCGCATACACAATAACCTGTTAAATAGCTGAAGAATTTTCTTTTTTTTCAATATTGAGCTAAATGTCATTTTCGAAATGTCATTTTTTTGGGACAATAATAAGTAATTGCATAACCGCAAAGAAGCATCATTCTCTAGATCAATGGTAAATAATTATATATCACCATAGCAACATAATTAACTCTGTCACTAGTAACTCATTATATATCACCATAGCAACATAATTATCTGGGTCAATGGTAACTCATTTTATATCACCATAGCAACATAATTATCTGGGTCAATAGTAACTCATTATATATCACCATAGCAACATAATTATCTGGGTCAATGGTAACTCATTATATATCACCATAGCAACATAATTATCTGGGTCAATGGTAACCCATTATATATCATCATAGCAACATAATTATCTGGGTCAATGGTAACCCATTATATATCACAATATCACCTTAACAAGCTGAAAGTGTGATATAACACTTGTTTAGAAATTCACTTACTTCAGAAATGGTTAAAATTTTCTACTTAAATTGATGTTCATGACCAGGAATACCTGAAATATTCATTTAAATAACTTTATACAGTAGTAATTGAATCTGCTAGGAATTCACTCAAGGATAAAGAAGATTATATGAGGGAGTCTTACATGTGACCTTAGCCAAATGAAACAAACCAAAACCTAATTTTTAGCCTTGTACTTCACTGTTGAGCTGTTTATCCTGTACGTAATATCTAAATGTTGGACAAAGTTCCAACAATAAAGACACAAAGTTTGAAACTTCTACATGGACAAATGAATTGTGTTGCTGTAAGTGTGTACAGCTGCGAGGGGATCCTAAACAGAAAAAGAAAATAAGAGTCCTGACACAGTTGATTACAATTGTACCATGCTACTTTTTACCCATTTGTCTCTTGCACTTCTGCTTGAACTTTTGATCTTAAAACAACGAAAAACAATTTGAATTTCTGTAAAAGAAAATGTCAGTAGAAAGAATAGTCACTGACACATAAGTGTTTTTTTTGATAAAGTAATGGAAGTGAATCTTATCATTTTCATAGTAAAGTATTGAATAGAGTAGTGATACACCAGGGTGTATATGTGTATGAGGTGAGAGTTTGAATGTGTGAGGGGTAAGGGTGTGTATGTGTGAGGGGTAAGGGTGTGTATGTGTTAGGGGTAAGGGTGTGTATGTGTGAGAGGTAAGGGTGTATATGTGTATGAGGTGAGAGTGTGTATGTGTGAGGGGTAAGGGTGTGTATATGTGAGGGGTAAGGGTGTGTATTTGTGAGGGGTAAGGGTGTATATGTGTGAGGGATAAAAGTATGTATGTGTGTGGGGTAAGAGTGTGTATGTGAGGGGTAAGGGTGTGTATGTGTGAGGGTAAGGGTGTGTATGTGTGAGGGGTAAGGGTGTGTATGTGTGAGGTGTAAGGGTGTGTATGTGTGTGGGGTAAGAGTGTGTATGTGTGAGAGATAAAGATGTGTATGTGTGGGGGTAAGGGTATGTATGTGTGGGGTAAGGGTATGTATGTGTGGGGTAAGGTTATGTATGTGTGAGAGGTAAGAGAGTGTGTATGTGTGTTGGGTAAGAGTATGTATGTGTGGGAGGTAAGGGTGTGTATGTGTGTGTGGTAAGGATGTGTATATGTGCAGGATAAGGATATGGATGTGTGAGGGGTAAGGGTATGTATGTGTGGGGTAAGGTTATGTATGTGTGAGAGGTAAGAGAGTGTGTATGTGTGTTGGGTAAGAGTGTGTATGTGTGGGAGGTAAGGGTGTGTATGTGTGAGAGCTAAGGATGTGTATGTGTGGGGGGTAAGGGTGTGTATGTATGTGGGGTAATGCTGTGTATGTATGTGATATAAGGGTGTGTATGTGTGTAGGGTAAGGGTATGTATGTGTGTAGGTTAAGGATGTGTATGTGTGTGGTATAAGGGTGTGTATGTGTGTGGTATAAGGGTGTGTATGTGTGAGGGGTAAGGGTGTGTATGTGTGAGGGGTAAGGGTGTGTATGTGTTTGGGGTAAGGGTGTGTATGTGTTGGGTAAGCATGTGTATGTGTCGAGGTAAGGCTGTGTATGTGTGGAGTAATGGTGTGTTTGTGTGTGGTATAAGGGTGTGTATGTGTGGTATATGGGTGTGTATGTGTGAGGGGTAAGGATGTGTATGTGTGAGGGGTAAGGGTGTGTATGTGTGAGGGGTAAGGGTGTGTATGTGTGTGGGGTAAGGGTGTGTATGTTTTGGGTAAGCATGTGTATGTGTCGAGGTAAGGCTGTGTATGTGTGGGGTAATGGTGTGTTTGTGTGTGGTATAAGGGTGTATATGTGTGGTATAAGGGTGTGTATGTGTGAGAGGTAAGGGTGTGTATGTGTGAGGGGTAAGGATGTGTATGTGTGTGGGGTAAGGGTGTGTATGTGTTGGGTAAGCATGTGTATGTGTCGTGGTAAGGCTGTGTATGTGTGGGGTAATGGTGTGTTTGTGTGTGGTATAAGGGTGTGTATGTGTGAGGTTTAAGGGTGTGTATGTGTGAGAGGTAAGGGTGTGTATGTGTGTGGGGTAAGGGTGTGTATGTGTGAGAGGTAAGGGTATGTATGTGTGAGGGGTAAGGGTGTGTATGTGTGTCGGGTAAAGGTGTGTATGTGTTGGGTAAGCATGTGTATGTGTCGAGGTAAGGCTATGTATGTGTGGGGTAATGGTGTGTTTGTGTGTGGTAAGGGTGTGTGTTTATGTGTGAGGTATATGCATCTAGGTGTTGGGATAAGGATTAGTAGATGTGGGGGAAATGCCATTAATTAATGATGAAATGAACAGATATCTATCTACTAATGTGACAACTTCAAAGCATGTTTTATTTAGATTTGCCATGGTAATGCCTTGTTACAGTTGCAAAAAAATTTTTTTTTAATCTAATTGATTTAACAACACATTAAATATTTCAATAAAACTGATGCAAGGATACAATTATAAAGTTTGTTGAAAATGGAAAATAATTTAAATTCTTCATTCCAGAACTATAGTATGATAAATGCTACGTTGAACGAGAGGCGTTACAGAGAGATTCTATACACAGGACTGAGAGATGATGTTTACAAGCATAGCTGCTATTTACATATGCTGGACTTGGGGTCAGAGCAACAGTGTAGCAATGCCAGATGATCATACTAAGAGCAGTTAGTCAGGTATACATTTAGAGGGTAATAAAGTAAGAAATACTTTTACAACAACCTCAGTCTTTTTGCCTCCTAAAGAAGAATCATTACACATCTACAATACAAAACACAAATAAAACAGCCTGGTCATCACATAACTGGCTAGGGAGGGTGACCTACTGCTTGGTAGAGTTGGCATCTCACAGAATCACCATCAAATTAGCATCTTCTATCAGGTAACTGGCAGAATGGCCCACTGCCTTATTTCTCTGTAGTCAAAGGTCTTAAATCCACACTTCAATGTTTTAAAATCAGATTCTGTACTACCAAGCCTTTCTGCGTTTACCCGATCCTTAACATATTGGCAAATGGTAACTTACGTAACCAAGAAAAAGAATTAACTTACGTAACCAAGAAAAAGAATTAACTTACGTAACCAAGAAAAAGAATTATAAAATAAACATATTTGACCTAAATAGGCAATCACAATCCAGGTAAATACTAAATTTCAAGGAATGGATCAAGGGAGACAATCGCCAGGACAAGCAGGTCCAGAACACATTGGACAATGCTTACCATTTTGTCAATGCTTTTCTACACAAAAATGAGACATTGCTGAATACAGTCGAGTATATTCACCTCACATCAACATTTCATCAGGTGAGGAAAATTTCCATCAACCATCAGGTGAGGAAAATTTCCATCAACCATCAGATGAGGAAAATTTCCATCAACCATCAGGTGAGGAAAATTTCCATCAACCATCAGGTGAGGAAAATTTAGTTAATCATCAGAAGATGAAAATTTCAATTAATCAGAGTTTATGTAAGTCTACTTCCTAATGAACATACAAAAACTCCAATCTTTTGGCAAAATGTCACTAATACATAGGAATCATTTCTAATCTATCATTGTTTTGTTCTGATTAATATAAATTTATTCTAAATAATGATAAAAAAATGATGAAGATGATGTCAAATGAAAATCACAGATTTGAACTTTAATGAACCCGTTATCTGAAAAGAAATTCAAATAAAAAAATAATAATAAAAAAAGACAAAATGTGTTACCTTTGTGGCATTCAGCCTTTTCCCATCATAGAGTACATTCTGAGGTGTCTCCACCTTCACTGACTACAAAAACAACATAAACATCTAGCTGAAAGAATGATTGTTCTCATATACAAAAAATAATTGTAAATAAATATGAAAATCATTTTCGTCTTTTCATTAATACATTATCATATTGATTAACCATTATGTACATGTTGCTGGTATAAACTAGAATACTGACAAATCAAGAAAGAGTCTAGTACAAGTCTCACTCTAAACTGGGTCTTACATTCATAATGAATTTTTGCTGAATGCTTTATAGACACAATAATTTGTCTGTGAAATATGAATAAATGTTTCAAATTAGACCTGCAACTTTGACCTGTAGACTTTGACCTGTTGACTTTGACCTATAGACTTTGACCTGTAGACTTTGACCTGATGAATTTGACCTGCAACTTTGACCTGATGACTTTGACCTTATGAATTTGACCTGCAACTTTGACCTGTAGACTTTGACATGATGAATTTGACCTGCAACATTGACCTGTAGACTTTGACCTATAGACTTTGACTTGATGAATTTGACCTGCAACTTTGACCTGTAGACTTTGACCTGTAGACTTTGACTTGATGAATTTGACCTGTAGACTTTGACTTGATGAATTTGACCTGCAACTTTGACCTGATGACTTTGACCTGTAGACTTTGACCTTATGAATTTGACCTTATAAATTTGACCTACAACTTTGACCTGATGACTTTGACCTGTAGACTTTGACCTGTAGTGAGGCGATTTCTCATTTATTTCACTAATTATACTTCATTATATCATAACAAAGTACTTTCCAGTAAAACATCCCAATAATATATAAATTTTTGGTAATACCACAGGTCAGTACTTGCTGAATGCCACTTAGTGGATTTTACCTTGAATGGAAGCATGGACATAGCATACTCAAACAGCAACCTCATCAGTCTCTTAGAGTAGAATATGAACTCATCTCTTGCAGTTTCTCGATTTCTGTCAAAAATAATTTATGATATAAGTTACAGTTTAGGTTTCATAATATAACAATAAATAACATTCATTTTACAACTTTACAGAGATGTAGGAACCCTCTCTGATATTTGAATAAAATCTACGAATGTAGGAAAATTATTCATCTGGAAACATTTAATTTTATAAATGGTTGAAGTCCCTGTGATGTTCTCACCTTATAAATGTGTGAAGTCCCTGTACCTGAGGGGTTTTTTCCAACACATAAAGGGAGTCTGGCATCTTTGTTCCATTGTTTGCTGAGAGAGCTAGTTTGGACCTGAGTTTGAAGCCTCTCTGAACAAAGAAGAAGAAACAATATAAAACGAAGTTGCACTGATTCACCTTTACAGCCCTTTCTCTGGAAATCTGGAAACGGATATGATAAACATTTCTAAAAACAATTTTACTAAAACAAAAGTTACATCCTATCTGGTTTTAGGACGACTAAGGAATTCTAGTTTTCTACATCACTTGGAATTTATTTGAAAAATATATTGATTACCTTTTGGAGTTGTGTATGAACATGCATGACAATCAATCTGACAGCTACTATGTTTTCTCCTCCTGCAAAATATAATGCCTTGATAACAACATGTGTTTGTTATAAGTAATGGTAGGAAAAAAGGCTACCATTACAGAATGGGGAGGGCAACCTACAGCAAGAACCAAGCAAATTAAACAATACTGAGTGCGTCATTTGATATATCACATCCCATGTTTCATCCCTAAATCTCAGTCAAGGTTTCTTAGAGCTGTGGAAAACTGACCGTAAACAGACGACCAACAAACCAAAGCCTTTTAGCTGTTGTTTATGATAATTTTAATGAACTGCAGTCAATCTACAAGAAGGGAAGACAATAAACAAGTCAGCAGTGTCTGCACATGTGATGTAAAAAATGGCTATCGTTACAGAAAGTTTTTCAGCTGAGTAACAAAATCACATTATTTCTAATTGACAACTGACTCTTTGAAATCTGCTCTCCTATCTTCAAAAATGTACCTCCCTCCTACACAGAACTCTGACCTAACTATCAAGTGTATGACCTTTGTCAGTAATTTATAGAAGGTAAACGAAATATAGCTTAACATAAAGAGGGGAGTATATACCGGCAGTGAAGACAATTTACGAACAAAAAGGAATGTAAAGTCCTTTACAGGGAAAGAACCGGTGAGAAGCAACGTACTGGTTCAGGTAGTGCATCACATTTAGGATATAGGTGTATAATGGCATTGTCACCTCCCCTGCCATCCACATATAACTGCCAGGGTAATTTGAAACAAAAATCACAATTGCATTAAGGAAAACTTTGTGATTTGTTTGCTTGCTGTGAAATTTCACAGCCCTACTATACACGCAGACATAACACACTAACCTCTTGGAACAATAATGTCTGCATGTGTCATGGATGGTTCAATGTAATGTTCAAAGGCTGGCTTCACAAATTTATTGTACTGCTTTAACACTCCTTCTAAACCTCTACCCCGCTCGGCGATGTCTCTTTTTAACCTTCGTGCTAGTCGGATATCAGAGTCCGTGTCTACAAATATTCTCATGTCCATCAACTGAAACATGATGAAGGTAAGTTACCCATAATGCATAGTGGTGATTTATTAATTGTACAAAGCTGAATATTGTTTCTGTAAGAAACTAGTGGCTACTTATTAGATTCCAGGAAATGTGAAGAAGTGGACAAAAAAATATCAGCAAAAATTCTTTATTGAAGAGATGGTAATACAGATCCAGTGACTCTCTACACTTAGAGCTAAACCTTCTGGGTTAGCTGGGTTTTTGTGTTAGCATACTTTGTACAGGGTACAAAAGTGACATACCTCCAACAGCTCCTTGTTGACAAACGACATAATCCCCTCAAATATTACCACATTGGCACCATAGATAGTTTTCTGAAATACAAAAGTATATTGATTTTTGTATGAATTGTGGCTTCCAAAGCATGTTAGTTTCCCAGACTTTCAAACTTAATTCCATTTACATGACTTTCCAGCACAACATTCCTCTCTTCATGATACTTCTTTCCTCAAGGACATTCCCATCCACAACACTTTCACCCCAAACATTCCCATCCACAACACTTTCACCCCAAACATTCCCATCCACAACACTTTCACCCCAAATATTCCAATCGACAACATTATTCCCGTCAAAAAAAAAATCAACACCACTCCCATTCAAAACATCCTCTCCATCCATACCACTCTTGTCTACAACACCTCTCCCATTCACAACATCCTCTCCATCCAAACCACTCTTGTCTACAACACCACTCCCATTCACAACATCCTTTCCATTCATACCACTCTCGTCTACAACACCTCTCCCATTCACAACATCCTCTCCATCCAAACCACTCGTTTATAACACCTCTCCCATTCACTATATCCTCTCCATCCAAACCACTCGTTTATAACACCTCTCCCATTCACAACATCCTTTCCATCCAAACAACTCTCGTCTACAACACCACTCCCATTCACAACATTCTTTCCATCCAAACAACTCTCGTCTACAACACCTCTCCCATTCACAACATCCTTTCCATCCAAACAACTCTCGTCTACAACACCACTCCCATTCACAACATCCTCTCCATCCATACCACTCTCGTCTACAACACCACTCCCATTCACAACATCCTCTCCATCCAAACCACTCTTGTCTACAACACCACTCCCATTCACAACATCCTCTCCATCCAAACAACTCTCGTCTACAACACCACTCCCGTTCACAACATCCTCTCCATCCATACCACTCTCGTCTACAACACCACTCCCATTCACTATATCCTCTCCATCCAAACAACTCTCGTCTACAACACCACTCCCATTCACAACATCCTCTCCATCCATACCACTCTCGTCAACAACACCACTACCATCCTTAACATCCTCTCCATCCATACCACTCTCATCTACAACACCTCTCCCATTCACAACATCCTCTCTATCCATACCACTCTCATCTACAACACCACTCCCATTCACAACATCCTCTCCATCCATACCACTCTCGTCAACAACACCACTACCATTCACAACATCCTCTCCATCCATACCACTCTCATCTACAACACCTCTCCCATTCACAACATCCTCTCCATCCATACCACTCTCGTCTACAACACCACTCCCATTCACAACATCCTCTCTATCCATACCACTCTCATCTACAACACCACTCCCATTCACAACATCCTCTCCATCCATACCACTCTCGTCAACAACACCACTACCATTCACAACATCCTCTCCATCCATACCACTCTCATCTACAACACCTCTCCCATTCACAACATCCTCTCCATCCATACCACTCTCGTCTACAACACCACTCCCATTCACAACATCCTCTCTATCCATACCACTCTCATCTACAACACCACTCCCATTCACAACATCCTCTCCATCCATACCACTCTCGTCTACAACACCACTCCCATTCACAACATCCTCTCTATCCATACCACTCTCATCTACAACACCACTCCCATTCACAACATCCTCTCCATCCATACCACTCTCGTCAACAACACCACTACCATCCTTAACATCCTCTCCATCCATACCACTCTCATCTACAACACCTCTCCCATTCACAACATCCTCTCCATCCATACCACTCTCGTCAACAACACCACTACCATCCTTAACATCCTCTCCATCCATACCACTCTCATCTACAACACCACATTGATAAAAGGTATTTCATGCCTTTCTTTGCTTCCAACATCACATGACTATGTAAAGCCCCACAAACTACCTTGCTGTTGTTATCACATCATAAATAACCTGGCCCAATATAATCTGAATGAATCATCGCTTGCTTCATACAGCACAACACAGCAGACACCAGGGGTATGCAAAGTCTGATATACTTTATACTTTAATGTCTTCTGATGTTAAATCAGCACTACAGGATTTATATACAAATAGTTAAACATATGTAGATATAACTTCCTAAAACAATGGCTGCCACACTTAAATCAGACACAATTTTCTTTATCTGAGCTATAGGACTTAAATCAGACACAATTTTCTTTATCTCGGCTATAGGACTTAAATCAGATACAATTTTCTTTATCTGAGCTATAGGACTTAAATCAGACACAATTTTCTTTATCTCGGCTATAGGACTTAAATCAGATACAATTTTCTTTATCTGAGCTATAGGACTTAAATCAGACACAATGTTCTTTATCTGAGCTATAGGACTTAAATCAGACACAATTTTCTTTATCTCGGCTATAGGACTTAAATCAGACACAATTTTCTTTATCTGAGTTATAGGACTTAAATCAGACACAATTTTCTTTATCTGAGCTATAGGACTTAAATCAGATACAATTTTCTTTATCTCGGCTATAGGACTTAAATCAGATACAATTTTCTTTATCTGAGCTATAGGACTTAAATCAGACACAATTTTCTTTATCTCGGCTATAGGACTTAAATCAGATACAATTTTCTTTATCTGAGCTATAGGACTTAAATCAGACACAATGTTCTTTATCTAAGCTATAGGACTTAAATCAGACACAATTTTCTTTATCTCCGCTATAGGACTTAAATCAGACACACTTTTCTTTATCTGAGCTATAGGATTTAAATCAGACACAATTTTCTTTATCTGAGCTACAGGAATTAAATCAGACACAATTTTCTTTATCTGAGCTATAGGACTTAAATCAGACACAATTTTCTTTATCTGAGCTATAGGACTTAAATCAGACACAATTTTCTTTATCTGAGCTATAGGACTTAAATCAGACACAATTTTCTTTATCTGAGTTATAGGACTTAAATCAGACACAATTTTCTTTATCTGAGCTATAGGACTTAAATCAGATACAATTTTCTTTATCTCGGCTATAGGACTTAAATCAGACACAATTTTCTTTATCTCGGCTATAGGACTTAAATCAGACACAATTTTCTTTATCTGAGCTATAGGACTTAAATCAGACACAATGTTCTTTATCTGAGCTATAGGACTTAAATCAGACACAATTTTCTTTATCTGAGCTATAGGACTTAAATCAGATACAATTTTCTTTATCTCGGCTATAGGACTTAAATCAGATACAATTTTCTTTATCTCGGCTATAGGACTTAAATCAGATACAATTTTCTTTATCTGAGCTATAGGACTTAAATCAGACACAATTTTCTTTATCTCGGCTATAGGACTTAAATCAGATACAATTTTCTTTATCTCGGCTATAGGACTTAAATCAGACACAATTTTCTTTATCTGAGCTACAGGAATTAAATCAGACACAATTTTCTTTATCTGAGCTATAGGACTTAAATCAGACACAATTTTCTTTATCTCGGCTATAGGACTTAAATCAGATACAATTTTCTTTATCTCGGCTATAGGACTTAAATCAGATACAATTTTCTTTATCTGAGCTATAGGACTTAAATCAGATACAATTTTCTTTATCTGAGCTATAGGACTTAAATCAGACACAATTTTCTATATCTCGGCTATAGGACTTAAATCAGATACAATTTTCTTTATCTCGGCTAAAGGACTTAAATCAGATACAATTTTCTTTATCTGAGCTACAGGAATTAAATCAGATACAATTTTCTTTATCTGAGCTACAGGACTTAAATCAGATACAATTTTCTTTATCTGAGCTACAGGACTTAAATCAGACACAATTTTCTTTATCTGAGCTACAGGACTTAAATCAGATACAATTTTCTTTATCTGAGCTACAGGACTTAATTCAGACACAATTTTCTTCATCTGAGCTATAGGACTTAAATTAGACACAATTTTCTTTATCTGAGCTATAGGACTTAAATCAGACACAATTTTCTTTATCTGAGCTACAGGACTTGAATCAGATACAATTTTCTTTATCTGACCTACAGGACTTAAATCAGATACAATTTTCTTTATCTGAGCTACAGGACTTAAATCAGATACAATTTTCTTTATCTGAGCTACAGGACTTAAATCAGATACAATTTTCTTTATCTGAGCTACAGGACTTAAATCAGATACAATTTTCTTTATCTGAGCTACAGGACTTAATTCAGACACAATTTTCTTCATCTGAGCTATAGGACTTAAATCAGACACAATTTTCTTTATCTGAGCTATAGGACTTAAATCAGACACAATTTTCTTTATCTCGGCTATAGGACTTAAATCAGACACAATTTTCTTTATCTGAGCTACAGGACTTAAATCTGATACAATTTTCTTTATCTGAGCTACAGGACTTAAATCAGATACAATTTTCTTCATCTGAGCTATAGGACTTAAATCAGACACAATTTTCTTTATCTCGGCTAAAGGACTTAAATCCGATACAATTTTCTTTATCTCGGCTAAAGGACTTAAATCAGATACAATTTTCTTTATCTGAGCTACAGGACTTAAATCAGACACAATTTTCTTTATCGCGGCTACAGGACTTAAATCAGATACAATTTTCTTTATCTGAGCTACAGGACTTAAATCAGATACAATTTTCTTTATCTGAGCTATAGGACTTAAATCAGATACAATTTTCTTTATCTCTGCTATAGGACTTAAATCAGATACAATTTTCTTTATCTGAGCTACAGGACTTAAATCAGATACAATTTTCTTTATCTAGGATATAAGACTTACAAAATAAAATTCAAAAACATTGTCCAACTGTTACTCAACTGTTTGTTTGTCACGGCCATGAGTGATGAAGTTGTACATAGGGACTTCTACATTCTTTCCTTCTTTCAGTCTCTGGAGTGTCTTGATCAGAAGGTCAAAGTCAAAGGCATCAGGATGATCAAAGTTATATTCATTCTCCCCAGCCAGCTTGTGTTCCTTTTCACTCAATACCTGACAGTAAACAATCCAATTCTCCATTGAATAATGTAAACTGGTTCATTACAATGGATAAACACAAAATATTCTTCATAACTTTGTTCAGTGTTTAACATCACAGCATCCAAAGTCATCAGAGGACGAATGCCTTGGAAGACACCACCAAGAACAAGAATTTGAAAAGGGAGGAAGAACTGTAAGAAGTACAAAGTGTTTTAAGGGACCACTTTGTTTACAACTCTTCAAATGTTGCCAGGTCAGGGGATCAAAGAAAAAACCTTGGATTCTACAAGGCATCTTGCTTCAAGGAGGCATAAAATAGACCAATCAGTGAATAACAGTAGATTTATCAATCAATGAATAACTGAGTAGATTTATCAGTCAGTGAATAACTGAGTAAATTTATCAGTCAGTGAATAACTGAGTAGATTTATCAGTCAGTGAATAACTGAGTAGATTTATCAGTCAGTGAATAACTGAGTAGGTTTATCAGTCAGTGAATAACTGAGTAGGTTTATCAGTCAGTGAATAACTGAGTAGGTTTATCAGTCAGTGAATAACTGAGTAGATTTATCAGTCAGTGAATAACTGAGTAGGTTTATCAGTCAGTGAATAACTCAGTAGGTTTATCAGTCAGTGAATAACTGAGTAGGTTTATCAGTCAGTGAATAACTGAGCATGTTTATCAATCAGTGAATAACTGAGTAGATTTATCAGTCAGTGAATAACTGAGTAGATTTATCAGTCAGTGAATAACTGAGTAGGTTTATCAGTCAGTGAATAACTGAGTAGGTTTATCAGTCAGTGAATAACTGAATAGGTTTATCAGTCAGTGAATAACTGAGCATGTTTATCAGTCAGTGAATAACTGAGCATGTTTATCAATCAGTGAATAACTGAGTAGGTTTATCAGTCAGTGAATAACTGAGTAGGTTTATCAGTCAGTGAATAACTGAGCATGTTTATCAGTCAGTGAATAACTGAGTAGGTTTATCAGTCAGTGAATAACTGAATAGGTTTATCAGTCAGTGAATAACTGAGCATGTTTATCAGTCAGTGAATAACTGAGCATGTTTATCAATCAGTGAATAACTGAGTAGGTTTATCAGTCAGTGAATAACTGAGTAGGTTTATCAGTCAGTGAATAACTGAGCATGTTTATCAGTCAGTGAATAACTGAGTAGGTTTATCAGTCAGTGAATAACTGAGTAGGTTTATCAGTCAGTGAATAACTGAGCATGTTTATCAGTCAGTGAATAACTGAGTAGGTTTATCAGTCAGTGAATAACTGAGTAGGTTTATCAGTCAGTGAATAACTGAGTAGGTTTATCAGTCAGTGAATAACTGAGTAGATTTATCAGTCAGTGAATAATTGAGTAAATTTATCAGTCAGTGAATAACTGAGCAAATTTATCAATCAGTGAATAACTGAGTAAATTTATCAGTCAGTGAATAACTGAGTAGATATATCAGTCAGTGAATAACTGAGTTGGTTTTAGAGATGAAGTAACTCACAGGTTTTGGCAGCTTATTGTGAACATGTGAAGCATTGTAGTAATGTATTACCTAGTAAATTATTGCCCCTACCAGCTATTATGCTATAATGGATTATAAAGTTTCTAAAAATAGTAAGCGACCTTAACCTTGACCCAAAAGCACTTAAACTCAAAGGGTTCAAAGATGATCTAAAGCTTAACTAGTTTGTGAACTTTGCTAAGACTAACCTTCATCGAATGAAGCCCCCACAGCACTGACCATGATTTTCTATAAATAGTAACAGTGACCTTATTCTTGACCAAAAAATTCTGAAACTAAAACATTATTTTTTATACTTAATATGTAAAGTTTGATGAGAGTACCTACAGAAATGAAGCTGCAAGAGCACAGATGAAGGGAGAGATGGACAGACAGACAGGTGGATTGACCTTCCCCTTGCTCCCCTTCAGTAGGTTACGCATAACTTAAGAGTAATCACAAGTTATGGTGTAAACATGACACACTATAAGCGAGTTTGAATTTGTACAAATGAGTTACCTTGTAGAAGGAGTCCATGCTCAGAAGACTGACCCAAGGCACATCCAACATTTCAATGATTCTCTTGGCTACAGTGGTCTTGCCTGAAGCACTACCTCCACAAACACCTATGTGTAGACATAAAGTTAGGTATAAATGAGCCATGTAGTCAACAGTAAAAATAATAGAACTTACAGGATATTCTGTTTCATTCTGGAATAAAATTTTGAGTCTATACTAAAAAAAAAGGCTTGTTTTGCTAAAAAAAATAAGATTTTTAAAGGCATTTTTTTACATCATTTAAATAAGTTATAAAGCATAATAACACCTTGCATTGTTTAGTATTTTCCCAGAATAACACTACAATATATGAAATAAAAGAAAAAATACCCATAACAATTCAAGGAGTACAAAATTCTCGGCTTCATTTTATTGCTGTTTTTTGTTTCTCAATATCACAATATTCAGGTTAGCATGACAACTCACCAATGACAAAGGCCTCCTTTTGAGATCCATGAGAATCATACCAGGGTGGTCGCCCAGCTGTATATAAGGTCCTAATCCCAGCATGATAAACACGAACAGATTTGTTGGAGCTTGCTGCTATCAGTGATTTCTGACGTTTGATGAGGGATGTTTTACAAGGACTTTTGGGTGGTTTGACTGGAGATTTAGGTGGAGAGGTAGCAGCATCACCTATACGAATCTCTGGATCATGATCTTCCCCAGATCCACTACCACTGTAAAGTAATGATTATGGAATATAATACCTATCTCTGAGAAAATCAATCTGATAAAAATACATCTCAAGTTGATAAGATTTGTATAATTAAAAATATCCATAAGGTTTTCACATACTGAATTCAATTTTCATTCCTACTATTTTTTTGTTCATTTTTTTAATTATTGTTTTTCTTTTATCTTTGTATATTATTTTTTCAGTCTTTGTGAGCAGTCCCTTACTATGTGAACTTAAGGACACTTGGAGATCGCGATTTAAAACAGATTAACTTAATAAATTTCAGTGTTCATGAAATCATAAACATCATCTTTTATCACAAAAATGTTGACATTTTAACTATTACTTTTACAAATTTACCCAAGGTTCTTGATATGTTTATTTTCTATAAAAAAAAGAATGACCAACAGTTAATAAATTTCGTTCACATATTTATAAAATAGTACATAGGGATCTTTCTATCAGTTTTGTTTTAACAAAATAGGCACTGAGGTTTTACTGAATGGCGTCCGAGTCAACCATCACTGTTGAAATTCTTCCTCTAAATTTGGAGAATTAATAATTAATTTCTTTCCAAATATGGTATCAACATGATCTTCAAGATGTCTTAAATATTTTCTGTTTTCGTTTTTTTTTTTTAAGAATTCACTCCCAGATATTGTAGTTTATCATTATTTATATGTACATGAAAAAAAAAACTGACACAGTTCCAAATTGGTTATGTAGCTGAAAACCGAGGTTCTTAAAAAGCTATCCACGGATGCCGGACGGTGCAGTGAAAACCGGGATTACTATTTATTGTTTTATTTCAGACATCCAGTGACGAGTTGGGAACCGAACAAATATGCAACGCCGGTACATTATGCATGCACACGTGTATCCGGTCTACAAACACACCGTGGATTAATTATGTACTCCTGCACCTCAAATGGGGATTCATTATTTAGATCGTCAACTGTGGCCCAACCTCTCCAATTTTACACATGTAACCGCTTTCAATGTTAAAACTAAGAATAGTACTGGTCTGTTTTATTGCACACCAACATCCATCAAACAACACGTGTATTGCTACTCTGCCAAAAATGTCGGGAAAAGTATAACAGTCTGTGTGTTTGTACCGACCACATGGTCTCGTATATGACCAGTTGGAATTGAACAACGCCATAAAACTAGCTGTATTCAGCAGTGAAATGTAGTTTTGCCATGCCTACCTGTCAGATGCAGAGCTAGCAGAACCAGGCCTTTCAAAAATAAACGCCATTGTTTGATTATATGTCCAATACTTAAAAATAACAACACAGCACTAGGTCTACTTCCTGTTACTAATTTAAAGTCTTCATCACAAAGGTGCTTATAAATACGGGGGTCGTCTCAAAATGCAAAGACAAATTAGTTGACGATGTTTGCAAAATTGTTTTTCAAGCTGTCATTATTTGTAAGCTTTAATGATCAACATATATATTTTTCATTTGATTGTATACTATTTAATGACATTTTATCATTAGTAAATCTTGAAGTCGATGTCGATAGAGATCGCCAACGAAACAACTCGGACTATATCGCCAAATCTCGGGCAAAGAAATCGCTCATACCTGAAAAATTCTAAAAAAAAAAAAAATAAGGAAAATGAAAAATGATGATAATTTTGTGGGTTTTTTTTTTGCATTTATTGGCGATTATCGATAAGGAAAAACCACTTAATAGTGTAATCAGTCATAGAAGTGTAGCCGACTCTGGATGTACATAATGGCCATGATCATGACACGCACTGAAATACATAGTCACTCTACTGGATGTAGTGCCATGGCGAGGAATCGGATAGGGACGAATTTTCCGCTGTTCATTTTTAGATAAGTAAAAATATATTCACTTTTGAAAGCCGTTTATCATTGATTGATCTCGGGAACAATAGTGCACGATAGTATGGCACTTTGTGTGGTCGGCATGAGAATCTATAAAGCGAAGATAACTGAAACTTGACGAAGATCGCAAATGACAAAGAATGAAATTTACTTTTTTCTCAATTCCATTATTAGTGACTTTAATATGTTAGAAAGTATGTTAAAAAGTTAGAGAATGCAGAGGGAGGGTAGAAAATAAAGGAAAATGTTAAAAAGATAAAAAGATTATCATATACACAATACAAGTACAAACATATTGTTGTACGTATCTGTTTGGATACACAATACAAGTACAAACATATTGTTGTACGTATCTGTTTGGATACACAATACAAGTACAAACATATTGTTGTACGCATCTATTAGGATACACAATACAAGTACAAACATATTGTTGTACGCATCTATTAGGATACACAATACAAGTACAAACATATTGTTGTACGCATCTATTAGGATACACAATACAAGTACAAACATATTGTCGTACGCATCTATTAGGATACACAATACAAGTACAAACATATTGTTGTACGTATCTATTTGGATACACAATACAAGTACAAACATATTGTTGTACGTATCTGTTTGGATACACAATACAAGTACAAACATATTGTTGTACGCATCTATTAGGATACACAATACAAGTACAAACATATTGTTGTACGTATCTGTTTGGATACACAATACAAGTACAAACATATTGTTGTACGTATCTGTTTGGATACACAATACAAGTACAAACATATTGTTGTACGCATCTATTAGGATACACAATACAAGTACAAACATATTGTTGTACGCATCTATTAGGATACACAATACAAGTACAAACATATTGTTGTACGCATCTATTAGGATACACAATACAAGTACAAACATATTGTCGTACGCATCTATTAGGATACACAATACAAGTACAAACATATTGTTGTACGTATCTATTAGGATACACAATACAAGTACAAACATTGTTGTACGTATCTGTTAGGATAATCAATACAAGTACAAACATATTGTTGTACGTATCTATTTGGATACACAATACAAGTACAAACATATTGTTGTACGTATCTGTTTGGATACACAATACAAGTACAAACATATTGTTGTACGTATCTGTTTCAATACACAATACAAGTACAAACATATTGTTGTACGTATCTATTAGGATACACAATACAAGTACAAACATTGTTGTACGTATCTATTTGGATACACAATACAAGTACAAACATATTGTTGTACGTATCTGTTTGGATACACAATACAAGTACAAACATATTGTTGTACGTATCTATTTGGATACACAAATTGTTGTACGTATCTGTTTGGATACACAATACAAGTACAAACATATTGTTGTACGTATCTATTTGGATACACAATACAAGTACAAACATATTGTTGTAGGTATCTATTTTGATACACAATACAAGTACAAACATTGTTGTACGTATCTATTTGGATACACAATACAAGTACAAACATATTGTTGTACGTATCTGTTTGGATACACAATACAAGTACAAACATATTGTTGTACGTATCTGTTAGGATACACAATACAAGTACAAACATATTGTTGTACGTATCTATTTGGATACACAATGCAAGTACAAACATATTGTTGTACGTATCTATTAGGATACACAATACAAGTACAAACATATTGTTGTACGTATCTATTTGGATACACAATACAAGTACAAACATTGTTGTACGTATCTATTTGGATACACAATACAAGTACAAACATATTGTTGTACGTATCTGTTTGGATACACAATACAAGTACAAACATATTGTTGTACGTATCTATTTGGATACACAATTCAAGTACAAACATATTGTTGTACGTATCTATTGGGATACACAATACAAGTACAAACATATTGTTGTACGTATCTATTTGGATACACAATACAAGTACAAACATATTGTTGTACGTATCTGTTAGGATACACAATACAAGTACAAACATATTGTTGTACGTATCTATTAGGATACACAATGCAAGTACAAACATATTGTTGTACGTATCTATTGGGATACACAATACAAGTACAAACATATTGTTGTACGTATCTATTAGGATACACAATGCAAGTACAAACATATTGTTGTACGTATCTATTGGGATACACAATACAAGTACAAACATATTGTTGTACGTATCTGTTAGGATGATTTTCTCAGTCTCGGGTTTTTTCTCCGAGACCGAGCCATCACATGGTCAAAATTTCCCGTGTATTTTTCTCCAATCACGCTTCCGATTCCGTCACAGAAGATTGTCATTCGATCTAATCTCCAAGTTAACATTAAAACTCTCACTGGATGTATTTAATTTTTTTTAGCTAGGACCAAAAGTTAAGCTCATATCCTCTTGGATGTAACAAATCGGCATGTTGACAAAGTCTACACGCAGATTGCATTACATTTTAAGTTTATTATCATCCAAAAAGATACGTACAACAATATTAGCACTATTTGCGAATCAGATACAATATGTGTCATGATCATAGTGAGTATATAAACTATGGATATTACCATTTGAAAGCAGAGTTTACCTTCCGGTGTTACGTTGGTCCGCCATCTTGAAAAGTCCTATCCATCGTACGATCACGACAGTGAAGACTGTTCAGACAAGATTAACAATCGTATGCTGGAACTAGCGGCAACAGCATGTAAAATCAAATACCAACATGGCAACATTATCATAATTCAAAATCAAATTCCATAAAACCATGACAAAATATGAACAAAAGAAAGATTTTCACGAAGACTCATGAAAAAGTGCACGGGAATAAGACCAGGTGTTCCGGAAGAGTAAGCATCTTCTGTTCATCGACAGCACCCACCATTTAAACGATTAAGCCACTTACTATACTATGTTGTTTAACCAATCTATTAGAAATGCTGTTTTCCCCTGTGAGTGGGAAAAAACTCATGTTTTACCATTATTCAAAAAGGGAGATGCTTACATTCCTTCTAATTAAAGACCAATTTCTTTACGGAGTTGTCTGTCTAAAATTATGTAAATCTGTTGCATATTTTTAACAATGCTAGAGAAAATGATATTTTTGTAGTATCAATCTGAATTCCTTGCAGGCCACTTCACTGTCTACCAATTAGTAAAACCGTATCATAAAAACTGTCTCTGCTGTTGATAATAATGAAGATCCTTTTGTTGTTTTTTTGTAACTTGTCAAATGCTTTTGACAAAGTTTTATTTAAACTTCGTCAGTATGGGATAGAAGGAAAGCTGCTATCCGGTCTGGAAAATTATTTGTTGTGTATGGAAATAACATTTCTTCTTTTAAATGGATCACAGCAGGAGTTCTTCACGGTTCTATCCTTGTTTTATATTAATGACTTAGCTTACCTTTGTCTGGCTATTTGCTGACGATTCTTCTCTTCAAAAAATCGTCTGCCAATTTAAATAAAATCGAGCCCACATTGAATCTGGGTTTGTGCCATCTTCAAACTTGGTCTGGTAAATGGCTTATGCAGTTCAATCCTATCCCAGTAAAGCCGAATTTGGCATGCGATGGTGAGCCGAGTGCAACGACTCCTATCATCATTTAGGAGTAACTCGTAGTAGTAACTGTGGGGAGACCACATCACCCATCTTATCAAATCTTCTTTTCAAAAAGTTAATGCTTTGAAAGAACTGAAGTATGAATTTGATAAGTCTGGTCTTAATACTATATTTTTATCATTTATACGACCTGTCCTTGAATATGCCTCGTGTGTTTGGGATGGATGTTCGGAACACAGCATCAGACACCACTGTCGTGACTTGCGTTAAATCTATTTATGGTAGGTATTTGCCAATTTCTGGATAAATTTTAAATGTACAATTATCTCTTTTACACAATATCCAACAACTTTACTCTTTCTCAAACACTCACTTTCTTATTAGGAAAAGGATGAGACAGATCTAGTGGTTATCCTGGCGGAGAGAAACATTCAAAGACAACGTCAGCTCTGTAGGACGAATCTTATCTGGATCATAACATTCAAAGACAACGTCAGCTCTGTAGGACGAATATCCTGAAGACTGGAGCAATGTAATGTTATACCGAATGAAAACGAGAACGATAAATATACCACTCGACAAAACAACATTATATACTCAAAGAAACATTATAAACTCAAAGAAACATGCGCTAGACTTAGAAGTATACTGTGTACAGCAGTAAACAGAAGTCACATACCGTTGGTATGATTGTAGTCACATACCGTTGGTGTGATTGTAGTCACATACCGCTGGTATGATTGCCTACAATACGACTGTTTTATTTGCACTTCTCTGCATTGCCAGGAAAAACTTGTGAAGTTCTTGATGCCCGCG